GGCGACCTGAGTCACGACACCACAAGATGTTACCGGGCTAGCAGGATCTGCGTTGTGGTCCTCAGTTCTTGTGTCTTGTTGGAAAAGAATTGAAAACACAACACAAACAATTGCAGGCACAAGCAATAGTTTTATTACAGGCAAGGGCATACTCCATGCAGCGTGAAGGATAGAGCAGACTGTCCAAATGAGACTCAATCCCTAACGAACTGCTGCTTCTGTTTACAAAGGGTTTTTATTTCATTTTTCCATGTTTTCCCCTGTCAATCTGCATTTTTTTTGTAATTTGGGGACTATGCATGTGGCTTTCCTATAAGTACCTAAGCAAAACCCATAGGAAGCGGGAGTGGGGGGTTAAATCTGCAATGCAAATGATATGGTAATGACCCCAAGGTCATGTGATGGCAGCCTTAAGCTTGGTATGCGCATGCTTGCTGGTCAGGAAATTCCCTGGTGGGTAAAGGTCTGTGCTAGACAGGATATTGTGCCCCCCAAAAAAGGAACTTAACATAAAGAATGAGGAACTTGGGGCAGTGACTGGGCTGAAACTGGGTGGTCCGGGATGTGGCTGGAGGCGGGGTACTCTCATGTCTAACTGTGACCTAACACTGCATTCATTACCCATACACGTTCACTAGTCCTCAGCAGAGACACTGTTCCGTACATTTCAATGTGAGGATTCGTATGGAAGGGTTTGTTTTTGAGACTGAAGACAAATACTTGAGAATAATATATATATGGATCACTGAAACCATGAAGGGGATTTAAATTGAGGGCTCCAATAGGTCATTGGTTTTGGCCCTTATTTCTATGACTAAAATACAGTCATTAACGCTGATAATTCCATTCTTTCCATCTATAAAGGGAGACAAGATGAAAGGCTGGGCTAGAATGGCAAGTCTGCATCCAGTACTTTGATTATTCATGTGCCATCTATGAAACTGAGTTCTCACTGTGAGGATATGTGAGTGTAGAAAAATATGCTACAATTATAAGTTGAATGTAATGCTAAGATGTATCTATCCTGAGTGTTCAATGCAGAATGAAGTTACTGTATCATCCAAGTACATGAAATGATTATGAAAATGCTGAGTGAGCTACCGAAGATAAGCATATTTTTAAAACACTGGGTAGCAGATGAGATGACTTGCTAAATTGTGTGATTTTTTTTAGGATAGAAACATAATCAATTTAAGAAAATACATTGAAAACTTGACTTAAAATATGAAATCGTTTTGAAACCAGAGACTGATTTGACTTAATATTATTATTCCCCAAATTATTGATACTCATCAGTGACCAGAAGTTTCATATTTAGTTTCATGACAAAGTCATCTCGGCCCTGGGAAGAGCTCTTCACGAGAGTCCAAAACTCCTCTGTTGGAAGATTCAATAAGATGCTTCATGTTTTTTCTGTTTTTATATAGGGAGTGCATATTGATATAGATAAACAGGTAGGTAGTTAGGGAATAGCAGTGAAGAGTGAACACTTGAGGCCAGAGTCCTTGGGTTTGGGAATGAGCTATATCACTTACTAATTGTGTGACCCTGGGCAATTTAACCTCATTGTGGCTCAGATGTCTGAACTTCAGATACTGTAGCAGCAACTTCTTGAGTTGCTGTGATGACAAAATGTGTAGCCCTATGACTAACTCTTAGTGCTGAATCTGGTCTGCATATTTACATCAGTAAATATGCAAATATTCATATTATTTTTGTTTGCAAGATAATGACAAAATGATTGTTATTTCATGCCACTTTATGATTTGTTGCATAGCAATAGATAACTGCAATCATTAACTAAGCATAAATTCAATCTATTAGGTTTGTTCAGCTTTACCCAGAAGGGGAGGGAGGAACTTACCAATTCTCTTGTATTTAAGCACAGGTTTTGGAGTTAGTTGTTAACCTGTTAGTTGAACTGGCACATCTGTGGGAGGACTTGAAAAAAATTACTGTTACTGGTTTTTATTTTTTGTTAGTGTTATAGTAGAGGTGAGTAAAGAAAGAGGCCAGGATGACTTTTGTATGTATTCTTTCCTTTGCAAAAACCTAATTGCTCTGTGATCTGATTCAGTTGCTTTTTCTGTAGGAAAAGATACCCACAAGATGATACTTTTAACCAGTTGGCAGGCTTGCACAACATGAATATACACAGAGTACCATGATATTAAAATTGATGACTCTGTGCAATTTTATTTACCTCTTGGGAATCCAGTTGATCTATTGATTCCACCGCAAATGTGTTGTGATTAAGGTCATAGCAAGATATGTTTGACAGCAGTTCTAAGTTATTAGAACCCATTACATATTTAAAGTCCACAGTCATTTGAGATTATATGTATCTGATCTTAGCTTAATGAGAGAACTCTATCAATATTTTGTTTCAAGGATTGTATTATCAATGCTGTATAATGATCCTGCATCGTATAAAAACCATGTACCTTCCGAGAAGGTATGGAACATGCTGTGATGCTCAGTATTTGTGTTTATGTGAATTGGGGTGAGAATCATGAATGCAGAGATTAGTGTGCTTCACATATGTTAACGGTAGTCATATATACAGATTAAACCTGCACTAGTTGAAAGAGTATAATGGTTGAGGCTCAGTTCCCCAGCTGTGAACATTGTTATTTATGGTGTTTATTACTATCTTGGTTGTGAATGATTCTGAAAAAATCATAGAAATATTTTCAGGAAAACTTGATTTCTTAAGCAATCGAGAGTGGGTTTTTTTTTTCCTTCACTTCTACATGAAACTAAAATGCACATCTTGACTTGAACACATGTAGAATTATTCAAGAACAACAATAAAAATTTAAAGAAAAACCATCATGAGAATATACTGATATTTAAATGTGTTAAATGGAACATGGACCCAGTCGGGTTTTCATGATTTATCAGTTTTTAACTTCAAAGACTCTGGTTAGCTTGCATTTTTTAAACTAATGAGTTTATCACAGCCAGTGGGGAAGATGGTTAAAGTATATCAGCTGTAAATTGGTACAAAGCACTAAAAGGGACATTAGCCTCTAATCAGATTCTAACAGTTCATTAAATCTGCCTTTCCAGAATCGCTCTTTGTCTTTTTTCCTCCTTTGCTTGAGTCTCCCTTATGAAGCATCTTCTTGCCTTTTCATCTGGGCAAGAACTCCTCCAGGGTAGGAAGCAATATCAACTCATCCTTCACTGTCTACCAACCAAACAGCCTACAGGATGCTTTTGTTAAGGTAGATTCCTAGAGCTGCCGTCATACTCTGGAGAGTTAAGGGCTGGCCGGCTGTGGGAAGGCTTTTCTGAGATTGAGTGGTGGCAAACCAAGCTGACTGCTTTCAACCATGGAAGCAAGTGACACGTTAGGGTCTGACATCCGTGCTTGATATGAAAACAACCCATGGGTCTCAATGAAAGGATTTCAAATTTGGAACAAACTAACTGAACTCACTCGTAATACCACAGTGCCTTCTGATCCAAACTATCTATTAAGATGAAAATCCCCTAAAAAACAATTCTCTAAAAAAATAAAATTCCCTTAAAAAAGTAAAACATTTAAAAAAGTGTATTCTGCCAATTTTGAGAATATTGTACATTTCCAGGGAAAGAATATTGACACTTAGTTGTTTTCTTCTTTTCATTACCTAATAGACTTGATGGTGGAGACTTTTTTTAATGCTCTCTAGCTAACTCTAGAGTAAATTTGCTTTTTCTTTTTGTTGTTTTCTTGGAGCAGATATTTGTGATGAGACCCTATAAATTTTATTTCTTGGAGCATTTTCTTAACAGAATAAGAGTCAAGAACTGAGAGAAATAATTAGAGCTTCACTATACTGCACTCTGTTGGTATTGTTGGGTAATAAGAACTTCTAATTTATGATTTGTTGAAATGGGAATTGTTTTTATTTAACTTTCTATTTTGTAGAAAAGCAACATATTAAAGGCAAAATCTGAAAGTTTAGAAATTATGCTAATCTTTTTCACCATGTAGGCACAATACTCAGTAACTGATTTTTTTCTCTTAATAAGACTGCTTTGGTGTTCTGTGATTACATTCTGTAATTGAACAAAAATAACCACTGTAAAATCTCAGTAAAATTTAGGCCTGTCAACTTCTTGCTTTAGTAATATATAGGAGTAAAGGTGGCATGTAAACATGTTTAAAAATATGATCCTAATTTGGACCTTAAGTGATCACTAATGTATGATTCTCTGACTTTTTTAATAGTTTCTAACATCAGAAAATTTTCAAAGTAATGACAATTAGTAGAAAATAACCTTGATTTAATCTTTTTATACACGGTGTTTGAAGTTTTATTGAACTACAATATAAGTAAGGTTTTCCTTTCTAGAGGTGGTAAATTGAGCATAACATATACCAGGAAAAAAATAACGCAAATTATTTGTTCCTTAGTTCAGCTTAAAAATTTACTCTTAATCTAAGACTTATGTTGCTGGTTGTTTTAAAATAAATGTTTGGAGGTTGATGTGTCAAAATTTTCATTTGATCAGAATTGCCATAACATAAAAATTAAATGTCTAGAATAATCTTGCTTTTAAATTATTTAGACTTTGACTAATAAGAGAGTATGTAAGTTTTTATCTGATTTTTCTCCTTTATGGATATATATCTTTGTACAAAACAGTCTCCAGATCTAAGGATAAGAATTACCTTCAATTTTCTTCCACTGTTGAGAAAGTATGATAAATTGTTCCAACCTCATATAAATTAACGTAAGGTTTCCATACTCCAGTTTATTACGGTCTGACCTCCAACCCAGAGGTCAGAGAATCAGACTGATTAATTCAACTGCTTGGGTCATTATTTCAAATGAAGGTTCAGAGTTGGGGGGATAATTGGTTATGCTGATATTCTCATTTAATTATACTTCATTGTTTAAAAGATTAAGTTAGCTGTGCTTAATATACTACAATGAAAAAGACTACCAGATGTACTCTTTTGAATGGTTTAGACCTGAACCTTTCTCTCTCTTTTATTCTCAGAATATCAACACCTTTGAGAACAGAATGTTAATGCTTGATGGGATGCCGTCAGTCAGAGTCAAAACAGAGCTTTTGGAATCTGAACAAGGGGTAAGCAGAAGTTTCCAGTGATGCCCCGCCTCTTCTTTGGGCGATAGTGGCTACCATTTCTAGAGCATCCTGAGGTTTGCAGAACGCTTGTGCTATTTCCCTCCTAAGCTTTTCTCTCTCAAATAAAAATCATTTGAGATTGTGATTGATTCTCACCCATTTGGAACCTTCAATTACTTCCTTGAAAAGGATAGTGTCCTGAAATTAGGAAGGCATAGTGACCTTCTAAGAACCACGTGGCTGTGTCTAAATAGATTAATGTTTTGGAAAGCTAATAAAAATTTAAAACAAAGAGAAAGTAATAGAAAATAAGGTGAGAATATCACCTCTACTGCACAATAGCTTGGTTGATTCTGAGTCAGGAAATGACAGCGTACAGGTATAGGAATGTTACTGTTTGTTGAATGAATTTCTCTTTTGACATTGGTATTCCCCCCCACCCCCCCTTTTTTTCAAAGCAGCATTTATTGAGAGGACAGAAAAGCTCCCAGAGTAGGAGGGGACCCAAGGGGGTTGCCTGGTATTTCCCTTTTTTTGCAATAGGAATACTAGGGAGTAAATGATGAAATTTAAGTCAGTGAATTTGAAAATGCCTAAGAGCAAAAGAAAAGTTATTTAACAACATATACCAAATTAATTAATTTATGGATACTGAAAATAGAAGGCCTATGAGCACAGGTTTTAAAAAAATGAATAGGAGATTTTATAATTAACATTTATAGCTTCACTAGTCAAAAGCATAAGGGTAGTATAATTAGTTGCAGCATGGGCAACTTTATGTATTTTAGGGAGAAAGCCCAGCTCATGTTTCTGAAAGCACATGAGCTACTCATCTTAGTAAATCGCCACCACTGTGGCAGTACAGATGACCAACAAGATGACATACATATATAGTCTTTTTTATTTATTTATTTTTTAAATTGGAGTCTCACTCCATTGCCCAGACTGGAGTGCAGTGGCACACTCATGGCCACCCCAGCGTCAACCTGCTGGGCTCCAACAATCCTTCCGCCTTAGCCTTCCAAATAACCGGAACTACGGGAGCACTACCATGCCCAGCTAATTTTTTATTTATCGTAGAGATGAGGTCTTGCCAAGTTGCCTGGGCTGTTCTCGAACCTGGGGGCTCAGGCAGTCCACTCGCCTCAGCCTCCCAAAGTGCTGGAATTACAGACTTGAGACACCGTGCCCGACCCATATATAGTCTTTACCTTATTAATATATCTCTTATTTTAAAAATCAAAACTAAAAAGCAGTAGTGTTTTATACTTGAACACTGAAAAGAAATTATAAACATAAATAAAGTCTCACTGTCGTAGTATAAAAATGAATGTGGATAAGTTCATCTGGGCTCTGACTCAAGAGGTTAGGATGCTAATGACCCAGAAGGATTTCTTTTTTTTTTCTTTTTCTTTTTTTTAAGGCTTGTAGGTTTTTAATGTCTCATGACTGTTAAAGTGCAGTCTCAAGGGATCCTTAGAAAAAACTGTTCTGACTTTAGAAGCACTTCCTGTGGACGCTGGAGGGCCCTGCTTCATCATACTCAGGCTTGCTGATCCACATCTGCTGGAAGGTGGAGAGAGAGGCCAGGATAGAACCCCCAATCCACACTGAGTACTTCCGCTCTGGGGGAGCAATAATCTTGATCTTCATGGCATTGGGGGCCAGGGCTGTGATCTCCTTCTGCATCCTGTCAGCAATGCCAGGGTACATGGTGGTGTCCCCAGAGAGGACATTGTTGGCATATAAGTCCTTACGGATATCAATGTCACACTTCATGATGGAATTGTAGGTTGCTTCATGAATTCCCGTGGACTCCATGCCAATGAAGGAAGGCTGGAAGAGGGTCTCAAGGCAGCGGAAGCGCTCATTGCCAATGGTGATGACTTGCCCATCTGGTAGCTCATAGCTCTTCTCCAGAGAGGAAGAGGAGGCTGCTGTGGCCATCTCATTCTCAAAATCCAGGGCCACATAGCATAGTTTCTCCTTGATGTCTCGCACGATTTCTTGCTCGGCTGTGGTCACAAAGGAATAGCCTCCTTCTGTGAGGATCTTCATGAGGTAGTCCATGAGGTCGCGGCCAGCCAGGTCAAGGCGCATGATGGCATGGGGCAGGGCATAGCCCTCATAGATGAGGACATTGTGGGTGACACCATCCCCTGAATCCAGGACAATGCCTGTAGTGCGCCCAGAGGCATAGAGGGAGAGCACAGCTTGAATGGCGACATACATGGCAGGGACGTTGAAGGTTTCAAACATGATCTGGGTCATCTTCTCCCTGTTGGCTTTGGGATTTAGGGGGCCTCCGTGAGCAGGGTGGGGTGCTCTTCAGGTGCTACACGCAGCTCATTGTAGAAGGAGTGGTGCCAGATCTTCTCCATGTCATCCCAGTTGGTGATGATGCCGTGCTCAATCGGGTATTTGAGAGTTAGGATTCCTCACTTGCTCTGAACCTCATCCCCCACATAGCTGTCCTTCTGGCCCATTCCCACCATCACACCCTGGTGGCGGGGGCGGCACACGATGGAAGGGAAGACAGCCTGGGGGGCATCATCTCCTGCAAAGCCTGCCATGCACAGGCCAGAGCCATTGTCACACATGAGTGCAGTGGTCTCCTCTTCACACATGGTGAGTGTGGCTGAGTGACCTGGGGTGGAGCACCGAGTGTATGAGAGGTTCTTCTCCTGGTGACTCCAAAAGGATTTCTTAATGAGGGCATCTGAAGTTGTAAGTCTGGATTGTAGCAGTTAGAGGGTCTTTTCAGTAACTTTCGCATCTCGGAGCATTATGTGGCAGAATGTATGGTATCTTAATGTAATTTCTCCTTTTCAGGGTAAGTCTATGTTTGAAACAGTTCTTCATTATGGTAGAGAGTACCATCTCACCTTTATATTCTTTGTTGAGTTTGGTAGCTCTGAAATGAACATTGTGGAGTATGTCAACCCATAGCATGACTCCATAGTTTTGCACATGATATAATCACTAACTTATATAGATTTAGCCCAAGATTCAGGCAGTGGAGGATTATGAAAGAAGAGACACATGACAGTTACTAACATGATTTGTTCAGTGCACAAGTGGTCCTCAATCTTTTTGGCGTCAGAGACTTGTTTCATGGAAGATAATTTTTGCACAGACTGGGGACAGGGTTGATGGTTTCAGGATGACTCAAGTGCGTTACATTTATTGTGTACTTTATTTCTATTATTATTACATTGTAATACATAATGAAATAATTATATAACTCACCATAATGCAAAATCAGTGGAAGCCCTGAATTTGTTTTCCTACAACTAGACGGTCCCATCTGGGAGTGATGGGAGACAGTGACACCCTAAGTGTGTTGCTTGTGTCCAGTCTATTCCATAGTCTTGTTTTGATTGCTGTCACCACAGAAAACCCTGCTCCACAAAGATAGGATGTTGGAAATGGAAGCATGCTTTTCAGTGCTGATCTGACAAGAGGCCAAGTTCAGGCAATAATGCAAGTGATGGGGAATGACTGTAAATACAGATGAAGCTTCACTTGCTCACCCACCGTTCAGTCTGCCTTGTGGCCTGGTTCCTAACAGGGCATGACCTAGTTCCTAACATGGTCTGAGGTTTGGGGGCCACTGGCATATACTATATAATAGTAAGAATCAGAACTATTTTTGAATTAAAAATGCTAGAATTTTGAATATTTCGTGACTCTTTTCTCATTTACTATTTTTTTTTTTTTTTTTTTGAGTCGAAGTTTCACCCTGTCACCCAGGCTGAAGTGCAGTGGCATGCTAATGGCCAGCCACCTCAGCCTCAGCCTGCTGGGCTCAGGCGATCCTTCCATCTCAGCCTTCCAAGTAGCTGGAATTACAGGTGTGCACTACCACACCTGGCTAATTTTTTGATTTATTGTAGAGACAAGGTCTCACCAAGCTGTCCAGGCTGATCTCGAACTCCTGGGCTCAGGCAACCCTCTTGCCTCAGCTTTCCAAATGCTGGGATTACAGGCTTGGGTCACGGTGCCTGGCCGACATTTACTATTAAAGGCCATTTGAGGTTGAATTCTTTGTAAGAAAATATACACGTTGGTGAAATTTAAATAAATAGTTATAATTACATTGTGCAATTATGGACTTTAAAAAAAAGAGAGAGAGAGAGAGATGGGGTCTCACGATTCACCAGACTGTACTCCTGGGATCCATGTATCCTCCTGCCTTACTCTTTAAAGTAGCTGAGGCTACAGGCATGTACCACTGTGCCAGGTGATCAAGGGCTTTTGAAAAAGATGAAACATGTTAGTTACAATGAACAAAAAGTTATAGCAATTCATCTGTGTCATATCAATGAATGAGAAAGCTTGCAGTTGGCACCTTGATTGGAATATATCTTCCCCCTGAGAAACCTAGTTTTGGGACTCTGTCTTTAAGACATAGACACTAATCTCAAGTCTTTTGGGGAAGAAAAGTTGATATTTCTTCCAGACTGCAGACAGCATTTTAAGTTATGCTACTTTACAGGGCCCTTCTGTCTCACCATGAAGGCATATGCTTGTTCTCTCCTGCTTGTTATAAATAGTCCCTTAGGTCTTCTGCTGTCAGCTGGGCTCTGCATGTCTCCCTACCCCTCCAAGGAATTCAGGACCTCAGGAACACATTTCAGGGCTTAAAGACAGACTGAAAACAGGTCTTGGTCTCGTCTCTGGAAAATTCTGGCTACTTTGCCTCATTCCCTTTATGAGTTTTATAGTGTGTGTAAGTGGTCTTGTGTCTTCAATCAGATTGTATAGTGTTAGAGGGTGAGAACTATTTCTTATATTTCTGGCTTGTATCTCTTGTAGTTCCTGGTACATGGCAAGGACTCAGTAAACATGATTTATTCCACTTGTTTAGGCATTATGACTAGCATGGTGAAAAATACAAAACCATTCAATAGCTAGTTGTCAGCCTGCTCTGTCTGCCTCATAGGGTAATTGTAAATATTGGAAATATGAGTTCTCTTTGGTAATAGAGGTATTCGTCT